TTAAATTCAAATTTTAATGCAAGTCAAATTCTAAATCTTCAAACAGTAACATAAAAATGCAGGTTGGATTGGAAATAATCACCAAGTATTTTTAATATAAAAACCAACGACATTTGAAATATTTAAATATCCCTAACCTATTTAAAACTGAACCAACATCATTTAATTGGTCCATTTCAATTAAAACAAATATTAAGATATTCAAAATAAGTTGGGACTTGCTGTTCTAGCTCAAAACATTGCCTAGTATTTATGTTCTAAGTTGTGTATGTAACTAAACTCATTTGGTATGTAATTAAATTGCAAACAGAGAAGAATAAATAAAACTGAAAAGATAAAAGAAAAAGGAGAAACCCGCACTGTGCACTTGCCCTAGCAACGGCCACAGTGCGGCCTGGCCCAAGCACATGCCTTTCATCAATCTCCTGCTCACCGCATCGTCGTGGACGACACGCGCCCGCACACGCCACCGATGTCCATGCGTCGTCCATCCGCCGTGACTCGTGTGGATAAGGACACCCTCAAGCCCTTTCGCACCCCCTGGAAACCCTAGACGCCACTACTCTCTTCCCTCGCGTTCTCCTCTCCATTTCTGTCCTTACCTATCGAAGCTGTCGCCGCGCTGCCGTCAAACTCGTGCTTCGACGCTGCCCCGTGCCAAAAAGAGATGTCCAGGAGATGCGCGCCATCGTCTTCGACCTCTACGTCAACCCACACGAGCTAGGACGCCCCCGAGCCTCGCCATCTACCTGTCCTCATCGCCTGGGTCGCCGTCGCCATTGTCGTCGATTCGCTCGACCTCGCCCTCCCCGGCTTCCGAGAGACCCCTACGAGCACCATCGTGAGCACCCCGTCCTCCCCGACCGCCTCTTCCTCTTCCCCATGTCCTCTAGCCTCGATTACCGCTCGCGCGCGTCACAGCCACCGCGAGCTCCGGCCCAGCTCGCAATCACCCGACCGTCCGTGCCTCGCCGTCCGCACATGGCCACCCCCGCATGAGCCTACCTCTGCTCTGGGCGCCTCCTGCGCGTGCCCTGCCGCGCTCGCCTGCCGCAGCCCCTGCTGGCCGGCCATGCTGCGCCCGGCTCCCTGTCGTGGCCGCATCCAGGGTCCAGGCCCTGGCTACCGCTTGCCGTGCCTGCCAGTGAGGTCGGCCCCTTGTTGATTAGGCCCAATTACCCCCTTCCCTAATAAGCCACTGACTAGTGGACCCCTCTACTAAATAACCCTTCAAATGAAACGTGTCCATTACATGTGGGTCCCCACACTAAATAAACTTGTTTAGCAATTTAGTTAAATATCAGTCAATGACAAGTAGGCCCCACCTTCACTGTCCACATCTTGACCCAGGGCAACTCTTGACTGTTGACATGCTGACTGTGCATGCTGACTCAGCCACTTGACCCAATTGTCAGTCTCTGTTGCAATTAACTGGTACACTTCTGTGTACCCCAAGCATTTAGTATTCAATTGAATTTTGAACTAAATTACAGCCTGAAAATTCAGAAATTCATTTAAACTTTACAAATTCATATAAAATAATCTGAAAGTCAGATGAAAATAATTTATATATGAAAAATGATCAGAAAAATATGGAAAACCCGAATATGCCGTCCACATACCTGCCACACCCCTCTAACATAGTGAACATCGACCTTTTTCTCCTAGACAAATTTACCGAAAAATATCTGGAGCTGGGAAATTATTGCCAGATAATTTTCCTCTTCTTTTAAAAATGCCTAGTATTGCGTTAGTGCATTTCATCATCACATACTGCCATGACATGCATTGTGTTGCATTTGTTTGCTCCTTTATTTATCTATTTCCCCCTCTTCCCTATTCCTTTGGTAGACCCCAAGACTGCCCCTGCTCTCGAGTACGACTACGTCGACGATGACCCTTCCTTCTCGGCAGAGCTTTAGGCAAGCAAACCCCCATTGATCATTTTGATATCGCCTATTCATTCTCTCTATTGCTTGCATTAGAGTTGTGATATTGTTACTGATTTATTGGTAGATCCTATATTGTTGCATAGCCTGTCGTTGCTGCTACTATTGATACCATATCTGTTATCCTATATGCTTAGGATAGATATGCTAGAGTTGCATCAATGGCCCTACATCCTTGTCTGCCTGCCATGCTATAGTATCGGACCGTGATCACGGATATGCCTGCATACTATATATGTTACTTCGGTTGTCACATCTCTAGCTTTACCTTGCACTTGTACTAGCCTAGTTGTTGCATCATGTTTAAATGGAAGAAACTTGAATTCAGGGAATCTGAAAGCCTCAAAATCTTTTAAAAGAAGGGCAAGAACCCTTTAAATTGCATTTAGTGAATCCAATATTCCCTAAAACTAGTTTTTAGAATTTTGGCAAGGGTTATATACCAAACCAAAATTTTGGAACATTTTAAGAAATTATTTGGTCTCTGAATTTAAAACAATATTCTATTTGAATTTGAAAATATATTCAAATATATATGGATATGTTTTTAAATGCTCTGTGATAATTTATGGGCATTTGGAAATGTCCAATGAGCAATATAAGTTATACTCAGAGGTGTTTGGCACTTATTTGAATTTTGCTTAAATTCAAAACAGTGGCTAAAGGAATAAATAAAAAATAGAAACAAAAGAAACGGAAATATAGAGGAGAGAGAGAAACCTCACCTGGGCGGCCCAGCATTGTGCGGCCCACTGGCCCACAGTGCCCGTCACCACTAACCTCGCGGCAGAAGGACGCCGCACGCGTATTTGCCGTGCACCGGCACGCGCCCGAGCTACCTCCTGCTTTCGCCGACGCTGGGGGCTGGCTGGAGACGCCACACACTCCCCGGCCCCTCTGGCCTGTCCACTCCTCCTCTCCCCTCCTCTGTCTCTCTTGCGCGCAACCACCCGAGCGCCATCGTCGTCGTCGCTCACCGCAGCCATGGCCACGGCCTCTCCCTCGCCCTGGAGCTGCACACGAGCTCCGTTTCGTCCCTCTCTTCCACCTCATCGAGCCGCCCGACGCCAAAAGCCCCTGGACGCCGCCAGCACCATCGTTCCCCTCGTCAGCCACCGAAGATCGTCATCGTCGATTTGCTGCCTCCGATGCCTCCCCAAGCTCTCTGACCCTCCCGTTTGACTCACTGTGAGCTCCTGCTTCGAACCCCCCCTTTCCTTTGCGTTGTTTGGCCGCTGTAATCATCACGCCGCTCGTGCCCGACTACGCCGCTGCCTGAGCTCGCCGTCGTTGACGCTCTAGTGAGCATTTGGTCCCGAGCATGCGTCCAACGTACTTGCCGCACCGCGTAGACGCCTTAGGGTGGTGTTTTGGGGTATATATGGACCATGGGCACTTGAGGCCAGCCAGGGCCCCCCATAGGCCATAGGTGCCCCTGCAGGCTCCCAAAGCCCTAGGGCGCCTACGCTAGGAGCCTGGGCACTGGGGTTGGCCCATGGTGCAGGGCCTTGGGTCCTGGGTCTTTTGGTGACTTGAAACTTTCGAATAATTTTATTTTATTTTTTGTTTGACTTTTTCTCTGTATTTTCCTGAATTATGAAAAAAGGAATTGGGATGGGACACTTGGTTAATATTTACTTCAATAAAATCAATAAAAAGTATGCCCAAGGTGTATGTAATTGATTTAAATATAACATGAATCATACAAAAATTATTGATACATTTGGGATGCATCACGTTGTTTTTGGTCAAGAGTAGATTTAGCATTGCTGGCTTTCTACTCAAAGCATTGGCCACTACATTTGCTTTACCCGAGTGGTAAAGAATTTCCAGGTCATAATCCTTGATTAGCTCGCCCTTGTCGATCACTTGCCTTTGCATCATCTATGTGGTCAAGTCCCATCTACAACTATATGCGCGGGAAACGAAGCTAGTGACCTTTGGCCTCCTGTCGCGACTGGTAAGGCAATTAGGGTTTCTTCGCCTTGATCCCGTCATCGCCGCCGCCGGCACCCCTTGTATCTGGTCGCTTTAGCGCCATGGAGTCGCGGTGCACCCCGGCCCTTGCGGGCGGAAGGGTTCCTGCTCTGTTTTTTGATGTTTTAGGTCGATTAGGGTTTATGTCTGTTCAAGAAGATAAGGTAGTGATAGCTCCCTAACAATGGAATGAGGTATCCCGCCTAACTCCCATCCCTGTGGTGCATCTAGTGTCGTTCAGAGGGCGTGTGAAGGAGTGTCTCCATTGGATCTCGTGGGATTCTATTGGTGTTGGTTCGCGTTGGATCTCCATGGATCCAATCTTCGTTCATGTGCCTATATGGTCGGATTCTTCCACTCTACAATTCTCTCCGTCGATAACAGTTGTTGTTCTGTTGCGCTGGTCCTCTAGGGTCATTATCAAGACGATTTCCCATTGTCTACTTCAACAAGTTTTGTCTGGCTCCGGTGAGGGAGGGGCAATAATGGTGGTGCGACGTCGTCTCATTCAATGCTTCTAGTTGTCGCTAGGTGGTCTATGAACCTGGATGTAATTTTTTCTTATTTCTGGTGTTACTTGTACTACTATGACAAATGATGAATAGGTTGAAAGTTTTTCTCGAAAAGAAGATATTTGCTTTCGCCTTTTTTTTCATTCTGTCTTTGCAGATCCAGATGCCAACTCGTACATATCACGCCACATCCTCTTTCATTCATCTATCCTACCTACGCTGGTTCGGATGAGGCCGGGCACGGCACACTTGCGTACGAGAGGAGGTTATGCATGCCGCCCCATTTCTCTCGGTCCCGATCCGGGCATGCACGCGCGCACGTTACACCCAACGCGTATGACTTAGCAGTCTATCCCACGAGCTAGACTCGGATCTTACCCAGCCACGAGGACCAGTAAAAACCCAATCTAACTAACCATTAGCCTCTAATCATATCCATTGGGTGGGGAACGCGAACCCGGCCACGCTATACGCTCGGCCGGCCTCTCTCATCGCCCCAGCCAGATCACAACCAACATCCTTCCTCTTCCTCGAGTCAGCAGTCTCCTTCCCGGCGTGCAGAATGATTTCCGCCGACGCAGCTCGTAACATCGTCGGCATCATTGGCAATGTCATCTCCTTCGGGCTCTTCCTCTCCCACGCGTAAGCCTGCCTCCTCTTGTCTAGCCGCCGCCGCCCTCTTCACATCCTCCTCCTCTTACCTATAACCTATCTATGTATATGGAGGGTGATTGTTGGTAACTTGTGTTTGTTGCTTGTGCGTGCGCGCAGGCCGACGTTGCGGCGGATCTGCAAGGCCAAGGACGTCGAGGAGCACAAGCCGGACCCCTACCTGGCGACGGTGCTCACCTGCATGCTCTGGGTCTTCTACGGCCTCCCCATCGTCCACCCCAACAGCATCCTCGTCGTCACCGTCAACGGGATCGGCCTCGTCGTCGAGCTCGTCTACCTTATCATCTTCTTCATCTACTCCACCAACAACAAGCGGGTACATCTATAAACGCGTCCCCTAATCGTTCCTCATTTTTCGGTGTTAGTTAGTTTCTGCCCCTAAGGCCCGGTCTTTTTTCGGTATATATGCGTGCAGTTAAAGATGCTCGCCGTGCTCGGCATCGAGGCGGCGTTCATGGCGGCCGTGGTGGTCGGCGTGCTACACGGCGTGCACACCCACGAGAAGCGCTCCATGATCGTCGGCATCCTCTGCGTCATCTGCGGCTCCGTCATGTACGCCTCCAATCTGACCATCATGGTACGTATAACGATGATCATCGACACATCGTGTCTACTCTTTAATTCTTTCTTTCCGTTTCTTGTTGTTGGTGTTAGTTAGTTTCTGGCCCTAAGATCATCGACTCAGTTAGTTGTTGCGTGTTGATGCCGCACGTGAGGCTAACTAACACTCTCTTCTGCTTATAAATCTGTACTTGGGGTGTATAGTTGCATTCCGCGTATTTAGCTAGCTAACCAACCAAACTTTCGGCTGCTATAGGGGAACTACATTTACAAATTACAAAAGGTTACTTAATTTTTTACAAAACCTGTGGTCCATCGCTTCATCACGAACGTGCCTAGCTAGGGGAACTACATCTACAAAAGGTTACTTTTTTTT